TTACTTAGAACAATCAGCAACATCCATAGACTCTATTTTTTTTCCTCTGGGTCACTGTTTTTATTTTTTCCAAGGCGACCTGAGTGGGCTGGAGGTAATCACAGTTAAAGCAGCTGTGTCCCCCTCTTTAGGCCTTTTAAAACCCATAATCTAAATAGGAACATCTACCAAATACTCTTATTCTAGTGTTTCTTTTTCTGGTTTACCCTGATGTTCCTGCTTGATCAGAGAGCTTCTTTGTGGAAGGAGGGGGCTGTGCTTGCTTTGAAGCTAATGTGGATGTTTGCCACTGATCTGTTGTGTAGCTTCCTTTTGGTCTCTGTCCAAAGCTAAATATTGGAAGGATCTGCTCCGCCATAGCACAGATAAGAATGGGTTTAAGATTGTTTTTATATATATTTATGGGCATTTAATTGAGGCGGGGTAATCCCCGCACAGGTCGCCAGTCTATGGCAGGGCAACACAACCATACACACACACACACACACTCTTAAGGACAATTTAGAGAAGACCCACCTGTCATGTTTGTTGACTGTGGGAGGAAGCTGGAGTACTCCCCATATTCATGCAGAAAGACCACTTTTAAATGCTCAAGGAGGCATTTCTTTTCAGAAAACTAATTAGATCAGTGTAATTAGTTTGGATATGAGAGTGTTATTTAGCAGGTTACCTAGGACTTAAACAGCTAACAAATGATTTCCATGTTCTGTGCAAATTGAAGACCTTTTCCAAAGCCTTGTGCATTTTTGTTTTTATTTTTAGAGAACTCTGTGTTTAGGTGCACAGCATAAAGTAGAGCTCTTCACATGACTAATTCCAAGCAGTAAGCATGTACCACTCTGGTGTTGTGCATGCTATGAAGATGTACTGTTTGTTAGTGTGTACGTTTTGATTAACCAGGTAGCACAGATGGCACCTAAGTAAGGTATTCATTAATAAGTGCGCTAATCACTGGCTTAAAACATTCCACTACTTTTCTAGCTGTTGTGATTTGATTTTTAAATTTGTATTTATTCAGGTTGAGATTTTAAATGCTAATAATTATACCCTTTCCATTTTTGTTTTTTGTCAATTTATTTTGAAATGCCATATGTTTTTGTGGCTTTTTAATTCAATCAATTGTTGGATGTGTAGTTAAAATAAAAGGAACACATGTTCAGTTGTGGAAATGTCTTTTTTTTGTTTTGATAAGTTATGATTACCTATCACTTATTTGAAATGTTTTCTATTTAACCTTTGGAAAAATGTACCGTAGTTTAAAAAAATATTCCTGCTTCCATTAACAAATCTACCGTAATAGATTTAACAGAATCATAAAGTTGAACACCACACATTTGAAATTACTTTTCAGCTGTACAATCTGTGTTTTACTTTTATATATATTTTTTAATTAAGTTGCTTTATATCAATTTTTTGTTGGCTTGAGAGGAAGTTAATTTTTTTGTCTTATTGTATAAATCTTTATGCTGTACTACAGCGCCCTCTTGTGAATATAGAGTGTAAATGCATGGTAAAAACTAAGCTCATGTCTGTTTTTCTTGTGCATTAAAGCATGAAAGGTACATTTTAGGCATCTGGATGTGTAGTTTTCTAGAAGAGTGTTTCCCAAACCTTTTTTGACTTTGACTTTTAATCCTTTGGGCATTCTGTCTTACCATGAGTTCTCCTGTCAGTCCAAAGTTTTAAAGATTGTCCAAACATGGAAAGTAGAATAATTGATTAAAAAATAAAAACTATTTTACTTTTAAGTATTTATTAAATTAAAAAAAATATGTTGCCTGGAAGTTAGTAAGGAATCAAAATAAATACAAAATAAAATATAAATCTGTATTTATAAAGCTGTAGCTCATCTGAGTAACTCCCTTTGTCCATTTGGATACGATAGTCCAAAAAGTAGTTCCACCTTTTGAAAAAGCAAAAGAACTAAAAACTTGTATTTAATCCTCATCACATATCAGAATCTAATTAACCTTCACTGACGAAGTTTTTGGGTACAAATAAGGAAATCGACTTTGGTTTGACCTTGCAGCTCATTCAGTGAAAGCTTTAGGCAGGCGTTTCTTCCACCATCTCTGCAAAACGTGTAGAATAGGCTCACAGTTCTATTGGTTGCATTTATGCCCACTTTAATAGTTTCCTACTTGGAAACTGGCAGTCATAAGTTACTACTTGCCAAGTTTACAAAGTGTGACAGTGTTTTTCACATACTTTTAAAAATATTTGAACTGCAACAGTCTGGTTTATGGGGCGCACTGGTGTCAACTCACCCTGGAACCCAGTGGGTCAGAGAACTGTACCCTGGCCGAGTTACAACTGCCAATTTCAAATCCAGGCCCTGAAATGGTTCACTTGGAGTGTGAATGCATGTCATTTCAAGACAACCTTATGATGTAAGAGCAGCACTTTTCAGTTCACTAAAAATAGAAAAAAAAAATAAACAATAAGAACAGGAATAAAGACTAAGGAGTTAGAAATGTCTCCTGTGGCTATATTGAGTAATGAAAAGGTGCAAAATGCAGGAGGGCATCTGGAATTCCAGCACAACAGTGGTATAAAATTCCCATGAGATGGACCTTCTTTATGTTTTTGTTTCTTCTCAGTCAGCACAATACCGGTGCCTAAGCTGTTTGTTTGGAACTACATAATGTTGTTTGGCTCAGTCTAAATAAACACTGTGTGAAAGTCAATTTGGTTCACTGAAGGTGTGAATTTTCTCACTTAACTAATTCTTGGACAGATCCCTAAAATCACCGCCATTCCATCAGCAATTTGGAATGAAATTACCTGATTTCTAAAAAAAAAACTTTCTTGTCATTTGAACGTGATAAAGATTATTAGGTTATATCTCAAATGGTAAGTAAAGAGATAATTTCTTTATGCCTCTATACAGTTAAAATATTTATATGTTTTAATGTGTTAAGAGATGTATAGCCAAATAACACCTCAAGCTAAAATTCTAATGAATAAACACTTTTTCTCAAGTATGGCTGGACTGAAAAAAAATGTGTAAAATGGGTTTATTACCATGTTTTTTTAACACGTAGGAGGAAATTTTTTTGGTGATAAGGTACAATTACAAACAGATGAATTTGAAAATATTCAGTGTAGAATAAAACTTTCAAGTTGTATAGGAATGTTATGAGAGTAGAGAAAATTTGTGCATGTTTTTGCAGAGGAAGAGCCCAGAAGAGTGCAGATATTTTTTTTTAATGAAATTAAATTGAACCGAATTTCACTTTAAAGAAGAAAGAACAATCTGAGATTCACAGGGAAAATAATAGAATATAGTCTACTTTTTCTAGATGTTTGTTAATCTGCATAGTTGCTCATAAATAAACACATTGTCAGAAAATAGTTTTTATATATAAAAAAAATATAAAGCTGACTAAAAGCTTCTCCATTATTAAACTGGTACTTTATTTTTTTAGGTTTGTGACACAATATTGAACCATGCAAAACACAGATTTACCTTCACGAAGCCTCAGAAGGGCAAGATTTATGTACAAAACGTAAACCTGGGTATGCTTTGTTTTTATAATGTTTTTTGTTGTTGCCATTCGTTTAAATACACTGGTGTGATAACTTACCATATGTTTGATTGGTTTTTGGTATACGTCTATTTTGAATTTATTGCCCCCCCTGGAGAAAACTCCACCAGCCGCCACTGGCCGAGTAGCTACCGTTTAATAAAAATGAACATCCAGCTCTCCCATCTTTCTGGTTATGATAAACACACCTCATTGGATCATCACATCATAGGATGGGCCCAAATAGAAATAATAAAGACAGACATGTATGTATGCAGAGGTGTTTTTTTTTTTTTTTTACAGTTGCACATTTCAAAATTCAGTTTTCAAGTTCATGTTTGTTGACAGATATTTAATGAAGATAAATTGTGCCTACATCAGTAGTGGATTGGAGATATAAAGTTAAGTTCACAAGTGGGCCAATTCAATTCAGTTTAGTTCAGGTAAATATTTAATGATGCAGAAGATAACAATCTGATTGTTCAATTTATTTATGACGCTTTATAGTAATAAATAAAGTGCTATAAAATAATTGCTCGCGTGTTTGCAATAATCATCTGTGTCCATGCTTTTTTGAAATAAACATTTGCCTTGTGCGCTCGCATTTTACTTGATACCCTATTGTGCCTCTGTATAGTATTGGGTCAGCTGACGTCCCTGGTCCCTGATATAGTGGCTATGAAACAACCAAAACGAATGAATTGAGAGCAATTTTGCATGCTTAAGTAATGATTTAAACGTATTTAAAGTGTTAATTAACACACATTAAATTGTTTGCAACCAATAGACTGAGCTGGACCCAGCTTAAAAGCATTTTTGCAAATTCTGTCTGAATTTTGTCTTGATTTATTTTACACAATCTCTTTTTTCCTTTTCATCACCTGCTGAAAACAACCAAATCTAAATAAATCCTCTTTATACATGTCCACCTAAGCTCTGTATGTTAACTATAACTTATTGATAGTTTCTGTCTATTTTTCTGTGCTTTTCTTTTTTACGAAAAACATGGAAATCAATGTTATTTAGGGGCACCTGAAAACAAATAAAGCAACAAATATGCTTTATACGGTGCTGAAATGACGCCAGTCTTTAAATTTTCTTTATGAGTTGATATATATATATAATTGTTTATTTATGTATTTTTTTATTTTATTTTATTTTTTTTTTTTTTTTGGAAACTTGGTACGTTATTTTCTACCCATCGTCTTATATGATATATATTTTTTAATCTTTTTTTGGGTTGATCTGAAATTTCCTCTTTAGATATACTACCGTGAAGGCATCATGACGTAGGCGTAAAACTCAAGGCGTGAAACCGTCACTTTTTTTTTTTTCCTAGTAACGTTTGGTACTTTATGAGACATTCTTCCATTGACCAAAATAAATTAAGATAAAAATATAATGATAATAATAAAAATAAAGGATGTAATGGCGCGTTATGTGACGTTTCACTTTAGAAGCCACGCCTACGTTTCCCGGCGTCCATGCGCTACGTCTCTGTAGCTCAGTTAAACCCACTCACACACCCACGGCGGCTTGTTTTGCCCACAGAGAGGAATTCCACGCTGGATACCAACCTTCACTTTAATGATATAGATGTCAGAACGTTCATTTGTCTTTTATTTTAAATCAAATAGATCAATTTCCTGTTCAAATAGTTAGCTTGTGGCTAACAAGTTACCTGTGAAGAATGAAAACAGGCAACGAAAACAGCAGCAGCAGCATCATGGACATGTTTGAGCAGGGCAAAGTGCTGAAGATCTGTGCACCTATGGTTCGATATTCAAAGTAAGGACTTTTGCTTGTTTGATCCGACGGTGATGTCATTTTTTTTTGTGTGTCCGTTGTTGTTAACATATCTTTTCACAGGTTAGCGTTCAGATCTCTTGTCAGGAAGTACAACTGTGACGTCTGTTTCACCCCAATGATTGTAGCAACTGACTTCTTGCGATCTGTCAAAGCCAGAGACAGCGAGTTTACCACCAATGAACGTAGGTGCTCTAACTATTATTTATTAAATCTTGTAATAACCCTGCATAATGCATGGTAAACAAAGGTTGGTGGCACTTATTAGTGTGATAATCATATGTTATTATGTTTTTTCTCAGGTGATCGACCCCTCATTGTGCAGTTTGCAGCCCATGATGCTCAGACCTTGGCGGATGCAGCTTGTGTGGTGGCCCCTTTCTCGGATGGAGTTGATCTTAACTGTGGTTGTCCTCAGAGGTGCTGCCAGTGGGAGAAAAAAAAAGACCTCATCTATTATAGCTTTTACTCATGCTTTAGTACTTTCATTTTAGGTGATTGATTTCTCATAAACATGCCAGTCTGTTTTGACTGGGGATGGGAATCAAAAACCTGTTCTTGTTCAGAAGCAGTTCCGTGTGTTTCAATTCCATGGCACCGTTTGGCAGCCGGTTTAACGATTCTCTTAACGGTTCCAGGCAGCACCAGAGCTGCGCTGGGCAGCACGACTCTCCCCAAAAATGGCGTCCCATCGGATAAAGCGGTCGAAAGTTTGGCTTCATTTTAAAGAAGAGAAAGATGGCAACAAGGCGCTTTGCAATCAGTGCAAAGTGCCAATTACATCCGCAGGAGGAAATAGATCCAACATGCAGAAAAACCTGCGCACACAACTTGGCATTCATTTTAATGAACGCCGTGTTTTTTATGCTTCCGGACAGAAGCTAAAGTTACGACCACCATTGAAGGCAACTCTGGTGCTAAGAAGCTAGTTTTATATCACTTGCTGTGCTTAATGTGGTTCCTAGTAAATCATATGCAATTTCTGGAAATAAACCCATTTCCTACCTCTTTTTTGGAGTTACTAAACATGCTATGAAGGTGCTCTGCGAGAAAGGTGACACTCATTTATTTAAATCAGGGAGAGATGAGTTTATTTTCCGAAGATGTACAGTAATGCTTTTTCATTAAATGGATGCCTTCTACCTTAGATATAGATGACTGTGACGAGACGGGTAGCCTAGCTGGCTAAGAGGCTGGCAGCTCCCGTTCACTGCCTTCTGTTTTCGCCGAGGCAGGCAGAAATAGAATGTCTCAAGCGAAGGTAGACGAATGTCACCAAACACTTACCAAGTTCATTGTTTCACAGAATCGATAAGAGAATCGATAAGGAATCAAATCGTTTCACAGAATTGATAAGGGAATCAGAATCATGAAAATCTTATCAATTCCCAACCCTAGTTTTGAGTCTTTATGTTAGAACAAATGCATTCAACTTTATGCTCTCTTATACATGTAAACCTTTAATTAATTCGTTTGTTGTGTTTCTTTAGATGGGCTATGTCAGCTGGTTACGGTGCATGTCTCATCAACAAGCCTGAGCTTGTTAAGGACATGGTGCGACACGTCAGAAATCAAGTGGACAACCCAAACTACACTGCATCTATCAAAATAAGGTAAAACCTGTAGGGCTAAGATAACTCGTAGGTCATGCAACCTTTAAAGGGACTTGGTAAAGTATCCAAATGGGATTCCGTAGGGTTGTATGTGATAAACCAACAGAAAATTTGGATTTAGTCTCCTTTATTCCATTACTCCTAAATCAAATTTAGTTCAACGGGTTGCCTTGACAACCATTGTAAACAAAATCTATATGTGTTAGTTTAATCTCAGGATAGGCTTAAAAAGATGTGGCTCAAGAGACGTTTTGTTGTAGTTGAGGCAAATGGAGATCTTTGAAGTTGATGGAGGCAAACTTAATTTTTAAATATTTCTTAGTAAAAATCAGTTATTTTCTATTTTCCTTCCACTTGTGGTGACATGATCATTTAAAAACTTGAATATTTAAAGGTGCAGTAGGAGATCTTTTCTAATGCATTTTTTACGATGTGCCTTAACGATTTCCCCACAGCCACGTAGCAAGCAGTAAAATAGAAGGTCTGGAAGTGAAAATAAAATAAATGATCCTCGCTACAGTGAGAAATCAATGAATAAACCCAACCAATCAGAAAAGACGGTCAGTTGTACACGATTGGTTCCATGACATGTCAATCATGGTCGTCTGCTTGTCGCTCCCCCCTGAACGAATCAACCTTCCTAATGCTCGTGCAGGACGCCATGGCTGGAAGCTAGTCACTGTTATGCTACATTCACACCTAAAGCAGCAAGAGCAGCAAAAACGCCGTGCTGCTTCATTTTTGATGCTTGTACCAGTTTAGTTCTGATGCGCGGCTGAAGCATCTCTGTTGCTCTGGCTGTGCGGTGGAAAAAGTAGGTCTGATTCCCGTTGGATGGAGCTACCCTATCCTTTCTTTGCCTGTAACATTAGCAGCTATATTTGCTGTGATCAGTGGGTAAAAAGTAGTTTGAATTTATTTTGAAGTGAGAAAGTCCACCTGAAAACATCGTCAGTACAGTCAGTTCATCCAGATTACCATCCTGCCTTTAAATATTATTTCTGTCGGAGCCGCTCAGACCCCCTTACAGCGGCGGTGCGCTGCCACTAGGAATCCCATTCAACAGCGGTTTGCAGCGGCGGCTGGAAGGCACCAGGATGATAAAAGCGAACATATTTTGCCGGCAGATTTTGGCATTTTAAATTAATTTAAGCGTTAATAACCTGTTTCAGAGGATTGATCATAGCGCTCTGCATCATCACTGCTCAGACACGCTGCTCTAAACGCGCTGCAAACAGCATGCGTGTTCATGTGTTTTAAAGAGGTGGTTTCGAGGGGTGGTCTGAAGGGAGAGGCAGGCTGTGTGTGTTCAAAACTATTGCTTGCTGGAGCCGTTTTTCCCAGATCTCCTACAGCACCTTTAGGCCTGGTACTGAAATTAGAAGTGGCCATTCGTTTCAGTGTTTTTTCTAAAGACGCTGCCACACCCACAGGATCCACAAGGACTTGAAGAGGACAGTGGATCTGTGTCAGAAAGCAGAGGCAGCCGGTGTCTCGTGGATAACGGTCCATGGCCGAACAGCAGAGGAACGCCACCAGCCAGTTCACTATGACGCTATAAAGACAATCAAAGACAGTGTATCTGTTCCTGTCATTGCCAATGGAGATATAAAGTACCTCTGTGATTTGGAGTCTACTCACCAGCTCACTGGTGTGGATGGTATGTTTGCTTGACCAGCTGTCATACATTCAGTGATGTCAGCATGTCTTTAATTGCTAATGCTTTTTTTGTTTGGACTGCACCCCTTAGGTGTGATGGCTGCCCGAGGATTGCTGGCAAACCCCGCCATGTTTGCAGGGTATGAGGATACTCCGTTGCAGTGCATATGGGACTGGGTGGACATTTCCATTGAACAGGGCACTCCATTCACATGTTTCCACCATCATCTTATCTATATGCTGGAGAGGGTCAGCTCCCAGCCTGAGAGAAAAGTCTTCAATTCTCTATCTAGTACCTCTGCTGTTATAGATTACCTTCAGAACACGTATGCCACAGTTCAAGATCTTAAAAGTTAAGCATTCATGAATGTTTTCATTTAACGTTTATATGTTTCTGTTTTTATGCCAAATAAAATTTCATATCTTTGCCTTTATTCCATTTTCTTTTCCCAATTCCTGTATAAATGTTTTTATTTCAAATTTCAAAAGAGTTATACCTGAATTTAGTTTCCTGAATCCAGTTTATTGTGCATTGAATAAATATAAATGCACAATATTTGACCATAAAATACGTATATTGTAGGAAGTTAACCGGAAAAAGTAATTTGAAATGGTTGGATTTTTTTTGGAGGTGAGAGGTGTTTTGTAATAATATCGGCCATTAAAACATGGGCATGTGGAGTTTCTCATAAAAACCAGCAATGTATAGAATTTTCTGCTTATTTCTATTGTTGCCAAAGAACTTGTAATTTAAAAATAGCATTTTTTCTGTGCGAAAAATGTTTTCAAATAAGGATTTATAGTGCAATAGTAGTGTGTCAAATGTCTTGACAATACAGCTGAAATGTTGCTTTTAATGTAAAATTTTGAAAAATAACTTGAGAGTTGATGAGAAGATCACTACATATTTGCATTTTATTTGCACAATGTGACTCATTTGTACGTCACAATTTCCACCATATTGTGAGTGGCAAAGTGGTTGTTCAGCAGTAGGGTGTGTATCTCGACTCACAGGGTTTTAGGTTAAGCCGTAGACGGTTTAATCTGAAATTCTATTAGCAAAAGGGTCTTGATATCATATAGGAAATTATATATTTAAAATTAAATATTGATCTAATATTAAATGAAAAGATTAATATGTCCAAGTTTCGCATAGATAGATAGTAAAAAGTATTTTCTGGAATATCAACACCATAAGGTTCCCTTGCTCTGAAGAACATTGTAAAGAAATGATCATTTACAAAATACATTTTTTTCAGTCCATTTTAAGTAGTCTACACCTTTCTTCTACAATTTTTCTAAGTATAGAAAATACCAAATTTTTTAAAGAAGGTAGTTTTTGAAAAATTTCTAAAAGTTTGAAATTTTACGATATTAGGGTCTAACAGTTACACAGGTTTTATTTGTCATTTTGTTTACACAAATGTAAAACAAAACAAAAAAAATCGTTTGGAACTGCTCTCTGGACAATTTCATCTTTTTTAAAAGTGCAGCCTTAAAAAATAGTAAAAAAAAATGACTGTCAATTTACATAAATTTTTTTTTTATGTAAATAATTAAACATGTTTAAACGTATTTTTTTTCACTAGTGTGTATCTTATCTGGTATCTATTTGGTACATTTACAGGTGTAATATATTGATAATGTATATTTTTTTAACCTTTTATCTTATTTTTAGTAATACTAAAGCTAAGGGATTCTTAAAGAGTAGTTAACAGTTATTTGGCCATTGTTTCCACTGTTTTTCCGAAGGGCATTGCCACTCGCAATATGGCGGCCGTGCCGACGTATCGTTTCAACTAAGAAACGAAGGCATCGCATGTGTCAGGTCTGGAACAGGAAGAGGTGAAACAGGAAGACAAACTTTCTCTGAGAAGAAACTCCCCCCTCCGTTAGCATTTGGTAATTTATCGGTAAGTTTCGCAGGTTTAAAAGTAAAACGCCAATAAACCCTCTATACTATTATTTGACATTTTAACCGTTCTCATTTACAAGTTAACGGTAGCTTTAGCTGAAGCAGTTACGTAGATTAGAGGTTAGACTTGTGATATAGTGGTTCTATTTAGCTAATTTTAAACGTTTTGACATGTGTCCTTTCTTCGTATAAGTCGCTTTTTTTCATTAAGAGGCACCTTAATTTTTTGTTTAACTGTAAACCTATAAGTTATCTTTTTACTTGGAAAACTAGCTAAGTAGCACATTATGCAAGACTTTAGCTTCTGACTGCTGTGTCTTAGAATGATTATTTATGAAGCTGGTTCGACTTGTTGAGCGAGCTTTCTTCCTCAGCTTTCCTATTTTGGGTATTTTCAGGAGACAAAGATGACTTTACAGTGGACTGCCGTGGCTCTCTTCCTCTATGTAGAAATAGGCGTCATCCTCATCCTCTGCTTACCCTTCATCTCAGCCAGAAGGTTGGTATAAGGAGACCTGAATCCCTACCTTTAATGAGATAAGCATACACTTACTTTGGACATTTTAAGATCATGGTAGAAGTTAAGGATTTTGTCTTTTACTATAAATACACTAAATATGCACACATCACATTTTTTTTGTCTGTAAAATAAAACTACGGAAGAAATGTAAAAAAAGTAAAAAAATTAACTGATTTTTGAATATTATTTCAGTTTATTATTGGAAAAATTCCACAATTCTGAAAGCTGACAAACATGTTAGCATCAAGGTGTAGCCATGTCTGTTTTAGAGACTAGCTCTCTTGTTTTAATTACCCTCTGCTCTTCCATTAGTGAAATAGCATCACCGGGGACCCCCCAGGCACGTAAAAAGTTGCCTAATTCCGTCATTTTCCATCAATGTGTTACAGGCCCACCCAAACAACTCACATCTTTGTCAGTGAAGCGCAGTGCTCCCACATCTCTTTCTTCATGGTGCCCATCTACATTAAAGGAATAGTACACCCAAAACATGATTAGCCTTCATTTTCTACTCACCCCCATGCTGAACAACACTCTGGAGTACTTTTTTGATATCTCAAATGCATCTGGAGATCTGGGAGGCTTCTTGCTGTCTGCTGACATTCAAATAATGGAGGTCTATGGTGACCGAGACAGAAAGGTCCATAAAAGTCCACAAAAAACGTGTCAATATTTCTCCATACTGCTCGTCCAATGTATTCCAAGTGTCCTGAGTCGGTAGCATCCAGAATTTACTCGAAACGAAGTCATTTAGAATGTTTTTAGAGCATAAACAGTAGTGTATAGGATTTCCTGAAAGCGCGCACATGCGCGTTCACGACGCTACGGAAGCCGGCAGACCAAACCAGATGAAAGTAAGCATTCAGAGTCTACTCTGCCAATAATGCAAGCGTAGAAGAAGAAATGTGCTGTTTACCTGTGCAAAGAAAGAAACAACGAAAGAAAAATGTCTGAGGACTTCAGTGTTGAGGAAGAGCATGAGTTCTTTGCCGAGCTGAATGCGCTGGTTTGGTCTGCCGGCTTCCGTAGCGTCGTGATCGCGCATGTGCGCGCTTTCAGGAAATCCTATACACTACTGTTTATGCTCTAAAAACATTCTAAATGACTTCGTTTTGAGTAAATTCTGGATGCTACCCACTTAGGACACTTGAAATACATTGGACGAGCAGTATGGAGGAATATTGACACGTTTTTTGTGGACTTTTATGGACCTTTCTGCCTCGGGCGCCACAGACCTCCATTATTTGAATGTCAGCAGACAGCAAGAAGCCTCCCAGATCTCCAGATGCATTTGAGATATCAAAAAAGTACTCCAGAGTGTTGTTCAGCATGGGGGTGAGTAGAAAATGAAGGCTAATCATGTTTTGGGTGTACTATTCCTTTAAGATCCAAATTCTGAGATTTAAAGTTAGAATTCTGAGATTTAAAGTTAGAATTCTGAGATTTAAAGTCAGAATTCTGAGAAAAATTTCAGAATTCTGACTTTCATCTCAGAATTTTGACTTTTTTCTCATATTATACTAAAATTAAATTTAAAAATCAGTTACCTTTTTGTTTTCCAGTGGCCCTAATCCTTTTCCTTTTTGATTTTCATGGCCTTAGATTTGAGGCAGTTTAAAATAATACATTTCAAGGCGTATATTAATTTGGAAATCAAAGGATGATTAGCAACAAGGCTGCATGACATTACTGTGTGCAATGTTACAGTAACAGAGCGCCGTTCTAACCACTGTAAGCACACTTGGAGGATTCAGACTTTGTATATCATACAGATATTTGGCAAGTTAGATGGATTTTCAAAGCTGTTGCTTCTCACAGCTAACTATGTGACAAATGCCCAAGAAAAGGTAACAGCATCATAATATGATTAGAAAGCAGGCATTGAAAATACTTATTTTTAATTTTATATCATCTTCACAATAGTATCGCCATCACATATTTGTTCTTATACTGCTCAACCATAAAGGTCAATTTACTGATATTTACTTTGTTTTGTTTTTTACATTATATCAAATACTGTTCCTTTCTGAAAAGAAAGTAATGAAAAAGATGATCCCTGCTAGAACATATTTTCCAACAATACACATCTAACAATCATTAACCAAATAAAGGAAATAGCTGTAGGGCAAAGAGTTATTTACATCTCTAGGCAAATGTTTGATGCTTGTTGAGAAACGTTTGACAAGTTCTAGAGGAATCTATCTCAGTGGCCTCCATTGTAATATACTGCACTACATGAAAACCTAATTCTTCACTTATGTGCCTCTTTATACATTTTGCAAAAAGAATGTAGCTTTATTGAAAGCTACATTCTTCCCACAAGTTAATCTAAAATTTAGTTTTTACCTTGGAATATATTTTAATTTTGAAATATCCAGTCTAGGCATCTCCAGTTATTCATTCACTTTATCATTTTTGTGGAGAAAAATGCACACAAATGTTGTTCAACCCTATTTATCAATCCTCACTGACTTAGTTTGATAGACGACAAACATAACAATTAACATAAGATACTTAAGTACTTTGTTTTACCTTTGCACACTTAAAATGCTGGATATCCAATTTAGTTATTTAATTTTTGAATGAGTTGAACTGTAAAAGAAAAATTACAGGTTTTACTTGGACACCCTACGCCAGAGTTCAGCATATTCTCCAGTCCAAAGAAACATCTTTGGATTTGCTTCTACCAATATGATTTCCCTAAAGCCACAAAGCCTCCATGATGCTTTGGAAAAAGAGATAACATCTATAATGTCATTCTGATGTTGAAATTCCACTGAGATACACATGGAAATGTTTTTTGTTATCTTTAAATGTGAAAATGTTGCTTAGTGTTATATTCTTTTGGCCAGATCATCTATTTAATATTTCTACATTACCCCCAAATCTCAAACGTGTTTCTGTTATTTCCTTGCAGATGGCAGAGCATCTTCCAGCTGAGAATATGGAACTGGATGGCTAAATTCTGGAACAAAGTTTTTCTCACTATGATCATAATC